GTCTCGTCATCTATTACTTCTACTACTATGGCTAACGCTTTAGCAATAAAGTAAAGTAATTACATGACGTTTAAGTTGACACGCAGGTCATAAATAAATTAAGACAACTCCTATGGCTCCTGCCGGTTGTCATACTCATCGACATGCAAGTCGTGATTCCTATTACAAGAACATGATCAATCTCATACATCACATATATCATTCATCACATCCTTTTGGCCATATTACATCACAAGGCATATGCTGCAAAACAAGTTAGACGTCCTCTAATTGTTATTGCAAGTTTTTACGTGGCTGCTATAGGTTTCTAGCAAGAACGTTTCTTACCTAAGTGAAAACCACAACGTGATATGCCAGTTTATATTTACCCTTCATAAGGACCCTTTTCATCGAATCCGATCCGACTAAAGTGGGAGAGACAGACACCCGCTAGCCACCTTATGCAACTAGTGCATGTCAGTCGGTGGAACCAGTCTCACGTAAGAGTACGTGTAAGGTCGGTCCGGGCCGCTTCATCCCACGATGCCGCCGAATCAAGATAATACTAGTAAGGGCAAGTAAATTGACAATATCGACGCCCACAACTGCTTTGTGTTCTACTCGTGCATAGAAACTACGCATAGACCTAGCTCATGATGCCACTATTGGGGATCGTAGCATAAATTTAAAATTTTCTACGCATCACCAAGATCAATCTATGGAGTAATCCAGCAACGAGGGGAAGGAGAGTGCATCTACATACCCTTGTAGATCGCTAAGCGGAAGCGTTCAAGTGAACGGGGTTGATGGAGTCGTACTCGTCATGATCCAAATCACCGATGATCCTAGTGCTGAACGGACGACACCTTCGCGTTCAACACACATATGGAACGGAGATGTCTCCCACGCCTTGATCCAGCAAGGAGGAAGGAGAGGTTGAGGAAGAGAGTCCAACAGCAGCACAACGGCGTGGTGGTGATGGAGTGACAGTTCTCCGGCAGGGCTTCGCCAAGCTCACGCGGAGGAGGAGAGGTATTGGAGGGGAGGGACTGCGCCAGGTTCAAGGGGTTGTGGCCGCCCTCCCACCCCTCCACTATTTATAGGTGGGGAGAGAGGGGGCCGGCCCCCCTTAGATCCCATCTAGGGTTCGGTCGGCGGCCAAGGGGGGAGGAGTGCCTCCCAAGTCAAGTGGAGGCCCTCCCCCTTAGGGTTTCCCCTCTCCCATGCGCATGGGCCTTGGGGGGGCTGGTGCCCTTGGCCCATTAAGGTTAGGGCGCCCCCCTACAGCCCATGCTGCTGTATTGGACGTGGTGATACATTTTCCGGACCTCCAGACCCCTCCGGAATCCTCCGGAACCTTCCGGAAGCTTCCTGGTACAATACCGGAAAAAAACTGAACTTTTCCTGGAACCCGAACAACAACTTTCCATATATAAATATTTACCTCTGGACCATTCCGGAACTCCTCGTGACGTCCGGGATCTCATCCGGGACTCCGAACAACATTCGGTAATCACATACAAGTCTTCCTAATAACCCTAGCGTCATCGAACCTTAAGTGTGTAGACCCTACGGGTTCGGGAACCATGCAGACATGACCGAGACAACTCTCCGGCCAATAACCAACAGCGGGATCTGGATACCCATGTTGGCTCCCACATGTTCCACGATGATCTCATCGGATGAACCACGATGTCGAGGATTCAATCAATCCCGTATTCAATTCTCTTTGTCCAGCGGTATTGTACTTGCCCGAGATTCGATCGTCGGTATCACGATACCTTGTTCAATCTCGTTACCGGCAAGTCTCTTTACTCGTTCCGTAACACATCATCACGTGATCAACTCCTTGGTCACATTGTGCACATTATGATGATGTCCTACCGAGTGGGCCCAGAGATACCTCTCTGTTACACAGAGTGACAAATCCCACTCTCGATTCGTGCCAACCCAACAGACACTTTCGGAGATACCTGTAGTGAACCTTTATAGCCACCCAGTTACGTTGTGACGTTTGGCACACCCAAAGCACTCCTACGGTATTCGGGAGTTGCACAATCTCATGGTCTAAGGAAATGATACTTGACATTAGAAAAGCTTTTAGCATACGAACTACATGATCTTTGTGCTAGGCTTAGGATTGGGTCTTGTCCATCACATCATTCTCCTAATGATGTGATCCCGTTATCAACGACATCCAATATCCATGGTCAGGAAACCGTAACCATCTATTGATCAACGAGCTAGTCAACTAGAGGCTTACTAGGGACATGGTGTTGTCTATGTATCCACACATGTATGTGAGTTTCCTATCAATACAATTCTAGCATGGATAATAAACGATTATCATGAACAAGGAAATATAATAATAACCAATTTATTATTGCCTCTAGGGCATATTTCCAACACGAGTCTGCCTGAGGTTGAGATTAGGCTGAGTGAAGATGTACTTGAGACTCTTGTGGTCAGTGAAGATGTCCACTTTTCTTCCCAATAAGAGATGTCTCCAAGTCAAAAGAGCATGCACAACTGCCGCCAACTCGAGGTCATGAGTGGTAGTTCTTCTCGTTGGGCTTCAACTGGCGAGAGGTATAAGCCACAACTTTCTTCTCTTGCATCAACACTGCATCAAGACCTTGAAGAGAGGCATCGCAGAAGACCTCGAACGGTTTGGATTCATCAGGAGGAGTCAGAACTGGAGCAGTGACTAATTTCTCTTTCAAGGTGTTGAAAGCGATGTCACATTCAGGAGACCAAACGTACTTCACGTGCTTCTGGAAAAGGTTTGAAAGAGGCTTCGCGATCTTTGAGAAGTTCTCAACGAACCTTCGGCGGTAGCTTGCGAGACCAAGGAAGTTGCGGAGTTGCTTCACGTTCTGAGGTGGTTCCCAATTCACAATTGCAGACACCTTCTCAGGATTCACCGCTATGCCCTTGGCAGAGATGATATGCCCAAGATAGAGAACCTCATCGAGCCAAAACTCGCACTTTGAGAACTTGGCGTAGAACTGATGTTCTCTGAGCTTATCGAGCACCAAACGCAAGTGCTTGGCATGATCTTCCTTGTTCTTCGAAAAGACCAGAATGTCATCGAGGTAGACCAAGACGAAGTCATTTGTGTAGGCGTTGAAGATGAAGTTCATCATGCGAGAGAAAGTCAGAGGAGCGTTGACGAGGCCAAAAGACATGACAGTGTATTCATATGAACCATAGCTTGTTCTGAAAGTCGTCTTGGGAATATCTTGCTCACGAATTCGAATATGGTGATAGCCCATACGGAGATCAAGCTTGAAGAATACTTGAGCACCTTTGAGTTGTTCAAACAGCTCGTTGATGTTGGGAAGTGGGTACTTGTTCTTTATAGTCTTCTTATTCAATGGACGGTAGTCAACACAAAGTCGGTCCGTTCCATCTTTCTTCTTCACAAAAAGAACTCCACAACCCCACGGAGAACTAGGTCGGATGAGACCCATTCGCTCTTGAATATCGAGTTGCTTCTTCAGCTCCTTCAACTCTTCCGGTCCAAGCTTGTAAGGACGTTTGCAAACAGATTCCGTGCCAGGCTCAAGATCGATAACGAATTCAACTGGCCGGTGCGGAGGCATTCCTGGAAGCTCTTCTGAAAAGACGTCTTGATATTCACAAACAACTGAAATTTGAGAGATGGCATCCAGTTCACCCTTCTCATTGAGAGAAAACAGACGGATGGTATCATCACGAGCGGCAAAGACAATTACATGCTCAGACGAATGAGTCAATTGAATCTGCCTGGCTGCACAATCAAGCTGAGCCTTGTGCTTAGAAAGGCAATCCATTTTGAGAATAAGATCAATATCCGAGTCACCAAGAACCGTAGGAGAAGACAGAAACTTGTAGTCACCCAAAGTGATAGTAACATCCGGAACAATGGAGTTAGCATTCATGCGCCTACCGGGAGAGACAACTGCTATCGGTATAGGCAAAACTTGCAAAGCCAACTCTACCCGGAGGAAAACTGAAACGACCCTTGGGAAAAGAAGTTGGTGATCCTTGTTCAAGATCCTGATGACAAAATATCAGGTGATACAAGAGTTTTAGGTGCTACCATGATACGGGTTTTCGTGAGCCATTGGATGAGAGATGTAAGGGTGACAGCCATCCTTTTGGACTTGCACGTAAATATCAGATTCTGGAAGCATTTTTCTGCAAAGTTGCAGGAGCTCTGTTTGTGGCCGTTGGTTGTCTGATCGAACGGTTCGAGGGAGTTCGTATCACGGGAGCATCTAAGCTCCCGTATCACCTGCAGATGCTGATATGCTCAAGTCGCAAGCGATGAATGACGCTGACGCTGAAGTCAAGAGTCCTCCATTCTCCTTTCTCCGGGCGCATTGGATACCCTTGGCGTTTTGCCTGTAGCACTCGTACTGTAGGCTTGCCTACCTGCGCCCGTCCTTATGTCGATGCAACATGGTACTGTAGCTTCGCTTACACAGGGCCCTCCTGCTGCTGCGACGGCTACAGCACAATGAATGGCAAAGCTGGTGATAATTGCACTGCGACTGTAGTTAGTGCCTCTGACTACCCACCAGAGCAGAGCATCATACTGTACTGTAGTTTTCACTTTTACCTTTTCCTCAGGAGAGCAGCAGAGAGCAACAATGGCTCTCTATGATGCACAACTTGCAGGAACAAACTCGGATGGCCACAACTTGCAGGATTTTTAAAAAATATATAAGAGGGTAATATAATTGATTGATTATAATATATTATGGCACATCGATATCTGAGTATTTCTACCAGTCTTGCAGCCAAAAAGGAATACTCCCAATACCCATGAAAATGGTCCAGCCATTGCGCTATGGCAGACACTGGCTAAATCAAAACCTCTCCTCCATTCATACAAAAACCAGAATGAGAAGCGTTTTTCTCCCTCCCTTCCCCTGCTGCTGAGTCCTACCAAGTTCCAAACCAAAATAAAGAAAGAACAGACGCTTTGTGGGCAACGCCTCCTCGCCACCACCACTAGCAACATCAAGCAATCTTCACCAATGCAGATCAGCAGAGGAGCCGCCGGAATCCAGCACCATGAGCTCCACCTCCACCTCGTCTATCTCCTCCTCCATGCAGCACTTCCTGCACTCGTTGCTGCAGAACAACTCGCCCCTGCATTCCAAACCCAACACAAAACTCAACAACTGAACAACACACCATATCACATCAGATGGAAGCAAAAAATGGTTTCAGTGCTCACAGATACATGAAGGTATCCATGTCCTCTCGCAGCCGCTTCCTGCAGTGGGAGCACGAACCAGAAGCGGCGGCACCAGCAGCCGGCATCGACGGCCATGACGGCTCCTCGATGGGCTCGATGGTGAAAATCGGCCTCTTGGAACGCACGCCGTTGGGCACCTCCACCGTCTGGCCTTTCAGGATGTGCGTCGTCCTCGGGTTCGGGCCGTGCTCGATCACGCAGGTGTACTCTTCATCTTCACAATCACATTGAACGAAGCCTGTGTTCTCCTTCATGGCGGCGCCAAGGCCAACCGAACCGGTCTTCTGACACGACGATGCATCATCGGCAGCCACCTTTGGCAGCCCAAGCTCGAGAAATGGCTTGATGGATTCAAGGAACGAGTTCTTGCCGCCAAAGTGCAACGAGCCCTCGTCGGCGGTGAGGGCATCGACAAGGCCGAGACCGACTCTCGGGGAGCCGGTTCTGAGCTTCAGATGATCAGCCTCGATGCCTAGCAATCCAGTGGGCTTGAGATTGGTGCCCAGAGTGTTTGACGACGGCAGGTTCTTGAAATCCAGAGGAGAGGTTGGGCTCCAGACTGAATCAGGGTCCACTGCGTTCAGGCCTTTGCTGCTCAGCCGCACAAAGAGACCAGGCACCCTGAAGAATCCAATGCTCCTCTGCGCAAGGCTCTGATCGGCGCAGTTGTCCATGGCTTGCTCTTGAGGAGCACAGGCACTAGCAAGTTGCCTCTGAAACAGTCAAGCGGTTTGTTTTTTAGTATCAGATCAGTCAGCAGTGAGTGACGAGAGCAAAGAAAAGTTCAGATAAATTTCAGCTTTTGCTTTTACTCATATGGGTCAAAGGATCAATCAACCAAAGAGAACAAAAGAACGATGATTGATTAACCGGGTACATGATTTTTTTAATGAAAACTAACAAATTGCCTGCCGGCTCCAAGCACAAACATCTCATCCTTGCAAATCAGAAAAAAAAACCCGCAAACTACACTCACTTGAAGAACATGGTGAAGGTAAGAAAACAAGAACACCAAGCCAAACGGATAAACAGCAGAAGCTCTTCTCTCCCCAATCTTATTACTCCCAAATCCCAACGGCTGCTTCAACAAGGATTTACAGGAATGCAGCAATAAAACTCCGAGCTCCATAACCTGGCACTGCGACGGCCACGAAAGGGAAGGTCGAAGGCGGCATTACCACCGACCAGAAACCATCTGACACGAATCGCGGCGGAATCAAGCAACCAGTAAACGAAAGCCGTCCAATCTGAGGCCCGGACTGGGAAACTAACCAAGAACCGCAAAAACTTCCGGGCCAAACATACACAAATCTAGAAAGCGCGGCGGCATCTTTTCCACTCAGGGAGAGTAGTAGCAGTGGGTGGGACGGTGGGTGCGTACCTCGCGGTCGATTCGGCGGCCGGGCGGGGATGCGGCGGCGCCCCTCCTCGCGCGACGGGACTAACAAGGGCCGGGGAGAAGAAAGGGGGGGAATGGGGTGGGGGAGGCTTCCGGGGCACTCTGCTTCTCGCTCTAGTCTAGACTCGCTGCCGCTCCGTGCTTTCCATGTGGTTTCTCGGGCGTGCTTGCTGGTGTGTTTATGGGGAGAAGACAAGTGTCCTCGGCGCGGACACGCAGCATGCAAAAGCAACGGGCGGGTGCGGTGCGGTGCCTTCTCCGGGGCTCCTCGCCTCTCTCTCTCCCTCTCTCCCTCTCTCCTAGTGTAGTGCAGTGGTACCTACTATTTTTGTTCTCTCTTCTCCTTTTGTTTTTTTCTTCCTTTTTCTTTTGTGTTTCCTGGAAGGCACTCCAGTGCTGCTCCATGTGACTATTTCTACTTTTTGGAGAACATTAACTCGGGTACGCCTAAGTTTAGCGACGTAATGGTGCTGGCTTTATTTTATTCTACGTCGACAGTTTACTTCATCGGTTAACTTCGATGACATTGGAGATGCTTTCGGTTATGTTCTCAGATGACTTTATCCAGTGCTTCCGGACCTTCTAGGTCCTGCTTTAATAAGAAATAATAAAATAAAATAAAGTGTTTTTATTTGAATTATCTCTTGTTGATTTTAATTGGGTGTATCACTGTATTTGCAAAAAAATAATGTATCACTATATGTACTCTTGTAAAAATGTCACTTTTTGTAGCATCTTCGTTTATACCCTCTCCGTTTCTAAATATAAATCTTTGTAGAGATTTCACTATGGACCACATACTGATGTATATAGATGCATTTAGAGTGTAGATTCAATCATTTGATTCCGTATGTAGTTTATAGTAGAATCTCTACAAAAATTTATAGTACATATGCACAACGGTATGGATAGTTTGGTCTGACATAAATGACACAAGAAAATCTTTTGACCCGGTCTAAAAATCATATTTCAAACCTCGTCAAGAATATGTAGACGTGCCGGACAACTGGGCTCTTAATTAAGGGTCCATTGATCAGTTAGTTTAAAGCTATCCAGATTGTTTATACCTAGAGAAAAGTTGTGCACGTGTCATTCGGGTGCATCATCTATTTACCTCCCGTGACCATATCAACATTGCAAATGTGCATTTTTTTAGAGAAAAGGCTCGAGCAGCTTGACTTTGATTTAACAATGACATTAACCGGACATGATTACACAGGACAACAACCTACAACAAGAACAAAGGAAACGACGAAAAATATAAAATGATGATGTAACAGCTTATAACCGAACGACTTTACAGGCAAATCATGAAGGTGAAGATTTAGGAAGGCAAATCACGAAGGTGAAGATCTAGGAATGAGTCGCCATTAAAGGGTGAACAACTCCGTGCCCACTCCACAAGGACTTAGAATAGGCTCTGTCGTGGTTCTAAATCTGACAGTAATGTAGGGGGTTGGTATGGAGAGGCAAGATCTTAACTATGGAGAAGTTGTAAGCACGCGAGGTTTACGAGTTCAGGCCCTTCTCGGAGGAAGTAATAGCCCTACGTCTCGGAGCCCGGAGGCGGTTGACTGGATTATGCGTGTATGAATTACATGGGTGCGAACCCTTTACACTGAGGAGGGGGGTGGCATATATAGAGTTCGCCGGACCCCTCCGGCCCTCAGTTATGCAGGGTTTTAAATACATTAAGGTCGGGCGTTACTGGTAACGCCCTTAATAAAGTGATATGATGATCATAAAAGCTACTTAATAACCGACCATTAGCATGCGGAGTGCCTTTAGGTCACCTGGCTGTCGAGTGGTTTGGTCTTGGTCGAGTGATCGCTTCTTGGTCGAGTGTCTCCGAGTCTGTCGAGTGGAACACTTCCAAGTCGATTGAAAAGTGATTTCTTCTAGAGATGTCCTTGGGTAGGGCAGTTTGGACAGGTCCATGACCCTACCCTAGGTACATAGCTTCATCATTAGCCCCCGAATGGATCGAGGTTTGAGTGGGGAAGGAGTCGAGAATTTCCCCGACTCATTTTTCATGCCACGAGCATATCTGGTTTCGGATCAATGAACCTGAGTGATGACAACAACTTCCTTTTCAGTCGCCTTGATCCATTCTTAGTTTTTGTCGAGTGAGTTTCTTTACTTGAAAGGCTCCGAGTGACGGTGCGGAGGAGATCTTCGGTCTGACAAGTTGTTCTATTGCCCGCAGATTTCGCGGGATCCGAATTTTGGGAAGCGCGCGGGACGGGGGAGGCCACGGTAATCGGATGGGATAGAGCGGAGCCGCCTCGATCCCCGCGCCACCTTTTTCGCCACGTATCACGCGCGCGACTGTTACGGGATTTGACAGGGCCGCCCGGGCCTACCAGTCAGCCACTCGGAAGCGGCCTCATATAAGGCGTTGGACCGGGGTCTCTCAAACAGTGCGTCCCCATTATCTCTTCTCTTCTTCACGCTCCCTCGCCGCGCTCGCCCTCGCCCCAGCGCCACCGCTTCATACGCGTCTCGCCGACGACGATGGGTAAGGAGAAGACGGCGGCTCTGGAGCGGGCAAAGAAGGCGACGACAAGGTTGAAGGGGAAGGCGACCAGTCGGGGCGGATCCTCTCGCGAACCAGCCTGCCGAAGGGCTGGATCCAGGGCGACTGGATCCGCTCAACGATCACCCAAGAAGACCTCGACGACCTAGCCGAAGGAGGGCTGATCCCCTATGAATCGGCGCGGCTTCCGGGGAAGGAATCCAAGCCGCAACCTCGGGAGGGTGAGCGCGTTCTCCTTGCCACCCACGTCGACCGTGGATTTTCCTTGCCTCCTCACCCTTTCTTTCGGGGATTTCTGAACTTCTTTGGGGCACAACTCCACCACTTCACTCCCAACACAATCGTTTATGTCGCCGCTTTCGTTTCTTTGTGTGAGAATTTCCTGGGTTGTCGGCCTCACTGGGGCCTTTTCAAGCATATTTTCACTTGTCGCTCCCAGACGGTGAAAAAGGCCAATCTGAGTGACGAGAGGACTCAAGTGATCCAGATGTGCGGGGGTCTTGGTGTTCATATGAGAGGGAAAAGTTTCTTTCAGGCCATGATTCTTCCTAACTCAGTTCGCGGATGGCAGTCGACCTGGTTTTACTGCAAAGACCAGTCGACGCCAGGGCAGTCGACTGGCCTCCCTCCTTTCACCATGGACCGAGTGAGGAAACCTTCCCCTTTGAAGGTGCTCCCGAAGGAGAAGGCGCAGGTGAGGGTGCTGGTAGAGCGAGTGGTCCAGCTTATCCGTGACGGGGTCACCGGTATGGATCTCTTGGAGATGTTCCTTCAGCGGCGCATCCAGCCTCTTCAAGCCCGAGACCATTCGATGTGGATGTATTCGGGTCTTGAAGACTCCACTCGGATTCACCCAGAGGAGGTCGATGATGACACACTGGAGAAGTGGCTGTCGGGCATGACCGGAAACAAGGACAACCCCAGGGGAGCCAGGAGAGTTCCTCCATTCGACCAGTCTCTTGTACCAGAGAAGGTCCGATTCTGAGCTTTTGTTTGTAATCTGAATTCACTCGCGTAGCTGCCTATACTGAGTCGACTGACTTTGTTCTTCCTGATTTCTTTCAGGCCATTATTGAAATGTATTCAATGCCCAACGGAGAGCAAGAGCAAGACCCGGAAGGAGAGGCGAGCGGCAGCGACAGTGGCGAATGGGATTTTGACGGTGGAGGGGACGAAGAAAGTGACGATCCAAGTGACAAAGAAGAAGTCGAGTCGCCTCCTCGCAGGGAGAGGCGGTCCAAACTCGACCAAGAACGACCGAGCGCCCGTGAAAAGGCGATTGCTCAAGCTGGTCAGTCTTCAAAGCGTTCTTGGACCTCTTCGCCAACTCCGACTGAAAAAGCGTCAAAGCACCCAAAGTCGCAGAGCCGAAGCTTCGAAAGGCGTTGCCGAAGATTAAGATTGACATCCCCGTCGCTTCTGCGTGAGTGTCTCCTTTTATCTTCGCTCGACGCCCTGTGCTGTTTGTTTTTCTTGTTTTAACCGGATGAACTTTGGAGCTGGCAGCGCGGCTACTTCCGGGACCTCAGCTTACAGGGATGATCATGAGGTGATGGAGGATGCGGTCACTTCTAATTTGGGTATGATTTCTGCCATTCTGTCTTTATTTTGGTCGATTCAACTGCAATGTGTACCATTGGGTGATGCGATTTTGTCGATTGAACTTTGAACAACTCCTAACATTATTGACCTCCCTGATGATGATGATGAAGAGCCCAAGAGGCCTTTTACGAGGAAAA